GCATTGGTWCTTTCCTTCACAACCTTTTATATTCAAATTAATTTGATTTTGATTCACATGTTTTTATTAAAGACAAGAGCTTGTCATTATTAATGACAAGAGCCAGGCATGGTGGCACATACCTATAATCCCAGTAGTTGGGGAGGAAGGCTGAGACAAGAGGATCATGAATTCAAACCAGTCTCAGCAACTTACCAACATCCTGTTTTAAAATAAAATATTWAAAAAAGGGCTGGAAATGTGACTCAGTGGTTAACACTACTGTGTTCAATCCAGGATACAAACAAACAAAAAAACCCAGCAAGATTCTTAATTGGTTGCAAAACTGTAACTGCATCAAGTATGCATTCCAAAAGTAGTATTTTACTATAGAAGCATAATCTCTTGATGCAGTTTCATCTTTTTCTGTGTTGCAAAATAAGTGAATAAAATCTCTAATGCCATCTGGCCTTCCTGATGGTAATTAACACTGTTATTTCTGAGCTTCCAGACTAATATCTGTAGGCTTAATTATCAGCTATCACTAAGATCAATTGCATTCTGACTTTTTTTGGTGACAGAATTTTATTTCAAAATTCACATCCTTATTTCCTCATTTCCTTTGAAAGGTATGATTTATGTCATTCAAAGAAAGCAATTCCATTTGGGCTGGTGCTATTTAGTTTGGGAGGGAAGTTCACACCTTGAAAGTAGCTGACTTTTCACATCCTAATAGAAGGATGTAAGGTTAGCACTTTTGATTTGGTAACCCAGCATCCTAATAAGGAACTGTGAATAAAAATATAAAAAAGGAAATATCTGTACCAAATAACAAGACTAAAATAATTTATTTTGTGGATTCTAAATATAGTTGAGGTGTCATATACGATACGCCCTTGACTGGTAGTTTAGGTCAGTTATTCTAAAAGCTGGCAAAGTGAGGTATCTTAAAGTTTTAAATTTTAACTTAAAACATATAGCTGTATATTTGTTCACCAGTCCTTTGCTTAGTATCTCAGGAAGCTATCCACTCTTTAAAAAAAAAAAAAGTAGTTTTTATATCCATCATAGAACTGAACTCATTGGTGGATTTTGCATACATAGAAAGTCAATATAAAATATTTTAGTTGAGAGACTTCAARATAATGAGATATTCTAGCTTAAACCTAGAAAAAAGTATTTTAAGAATTCATGGGGAATATTTAAAATACATAAATCTGGAATAGTAAATAGTAGACTTGACTTTAGGCAGAGGCTGACAATGAATTGAAACTCAGTAAGTTCAATATTGTAAACAGCATAAACATTTTATGTAGTAATTACAATAACTAATTTTGCATTGTTCATTTTATTTGTTTTATGAGTTGTGGAGTTAYCATGACAAGCACGGCCATTAATTCAGAAACTGGTAAGGGATTGAAAAAGACAAACTCCTGTATAGAGAGAAAGCTGGGACCAGGTAGGACACCGTCTCTGATGGAGGAACATGACCCAGAGCTAAATTAGCACATTTATTATAGGTTTTATCATCAAAAAGTTGGGAAAGTTTCTGCAAAGCGGGCAGACTGAAGGATGCAGCACTGGTGAGACATTAGGGTTATCTTGTTAAGCTCAGAATTCTATTTCCCCAGGAGCTGGTGCCTGAGCTCAAGATCCAGACTGATATAACTCCATACCTTTGTACAGGGTTTCGGCAGGCCAGGTGTCACTATAGTAACCCAGTAATCTGGAACTGCACCTTTGCACGGGAAGTTTCCAGCACAAATGCARCCCTGAGGCAGTCAAAGCTCACAATCCAAGTCACCACTCTCCACATGTAATAGTCTCTCATTTTCATTATGCTTCAAACTTATACCTGAAATAGCTCTTGGCCATTTTGTTCTTGCTAGGCCCAAGCTGCCATTCCTCATTCCCTCTACTGCTCTCTCTGTTCAGGCTTCATTTCTTGCATTAGAGCTGGTTTAGCTTCTAGTTTTACTCCTTTCACTATATTCCCTAGACTGCTACTGCAATGATTTTTTTTCTAGAATACAGATAGAAATATTATGTACCACTGTCTTATTTATCTCTTTTCAATTTTTTCTTTTACCTTCATGAATCTGCATATAAATCTACTAGAGATTGGAATTGATAGTTGTTGAATAACCATTAATTGAATTATACTTATTTTTTATTATTTGGAGATTTTACAAGTGAACTAACCAATATTCTTTGGAGCCATCYCTTATTAAGACAAAGTGAAGGAAAGGATAGGGAAAGAAGAGAATTGAGTCTTTTGATTGATAGGCTATCAGAAGTTTTTCTGAAGTACATTTATTTTTTGTGCATCTGTTTATTTCTTCTGGTTAGGTGAGTTGTTCCTAAAACTATTAAATATCATTCAATGATAGTACATCTATGAAAGTAGAGAAGATAATATCAACCAAAAAGGGTTGTTATGAAAATAGACTGATGTATTTAACATACCAACCAACATGGTAAGCCCTTAATGAGTGATAGCTACTATATCTAGAGACACTGTGGATGTGATAATTTAAGAGTACTGACTTCATGGTCTTTAGACTGGGGTTTAAATTCTGGCTTCCCATTTGTTAGCCCTCTGAACTTGGGCACTGCATCTTAATTTTCCCATCTGTAAAATAAGATATAAATAAATATTTCACAGGAATATTTTAATGTATTAGTATATTAGAAGATATAATAAGCACTCAAAAAATGATTTGTTGTAGTATGTAGTTATCATTATAATAAACATTTATAATAAAAAGTACCCATTATGTTGTAGATTCTGCCCAAGATCCTAGATGATGCTGTCTGTAATTCTGAGATTTCAGATTTATATCCCACATCTATTATATGACTACTTCATTTCATTTAGATAGTATGTTTTACTTTTATAGGCTGAATTATATAGACAAATCCTAATGTAAAAATATTACCTCAGACTTCACTGAGCTTAAATATAGCCAAGAATCAAGAAACAAGCAAAAGCAAATAAAACAAATAGCACAGATATCTACAAAGTCTATGAGTAGCCAAAGATGTCACACACATACACACACACACAAATTTATACCTATATACTTATGGAAGTATCTCTCAACTTCTTGTTTAGTGCCCACATTTCTGTTGCTTGTTAGCCAAGTGACTTTTGGTGAGTCTTAGACAATTTCAATTTCCTCATCTGTGAAATAAGAGTTAGCTACTGTTTTTTTCTTTTGGTACTGGGATTGAACTCAGAGGCACTTTATTGTTAATGGCAAGATTGCAATAAGTCACCAAGTTGATCTTAAAGCAGGAGATGGAACTTTTATTCACCAGTTGGTGGTCTGGATCCATCAACGGGCAGGCCAAGGGGCAGGCTACAAGTCTACACCCTTTGACCTCCTCCCAGGGTTTGAGTACACCTTTGTAGTCCAAAACTATATTAATCATAAGTATCTATTGCTATGATTCAAAACCATAAACAAACGTCATGARATCTAAAATCATAAGTGGAAGGGGGAATGGGTCAAAATAACCCTAGTTGAGTACAAGATAAAGAATGGTTACTAATGTCTAGACATTCATTCTCTGACAGGGTACATTGTCCAAGAAAAATAGGAACCAAAAAGAGGACAATTTTACATTGTATAAGAATTGCCATTTTGTGTTGTCAAACATGCTATGCTAAGTAACTGTTGATTGGTACAGGGTGTTCCCATGAGAGAAGCATTTCTTACATGACATGGAGTGTCAAGGCAAAATGGAGACTGTTTGGTCATTGCCTGTATAGCCTGGTGTATAACATTKTCACTGAGTTACAATTCCAGCCCTTTTTATTTCTATTTTGAGACAAGGTCTCACTAAGTTGCTGAGGCTGTCCTTGAACTTACCATCTTTCCGCCTCAGCTTCCCAAGTCACTGGTRTTACAGGCATKTGCCATCATGCCTGGCAAGAGTAACTGATTTCTAAAAGTCTCTTAAGTCTAGAAACTTTTAAATTCTGTGTGTATAGTATCTTAAATTTATTCTCTCTGGGCTCTTTTCTATATTATTCTCTTTAAAAAAATAAAAGTGTAGTGGGTTTACTTTAAAGTGCAGAACCTATGCACAAGATTCACTGTTATGTCAAACTCTGTGATAAATAAGGAATTTCTAATGCAGCATGACAAACCAAAGAGAACAGTTACAATTTATGTGGAATTATTTAAACAAATTATAAGAATAAATGAGAGTGATTGGTTTTTAGAAATGTGAATACCAAAAAAGCTTCACAGCAAAATTATGATAGATTATGCTACAGTTACAAATTAGCCCCAAGTTTCAGTGTCTGAAAACTGTAGAGGTTTACTATGGTATAATCTAATATTGGTCAGCAGTGATTATACTCCACAGTCACTGAGGTACCCAAACTGGATCCTTTAGCCTCAACTCTTAGCCAGTATTGTCACAGTAGAAGAGAAGTGAAGAGCTGATATTTTGTCCACCAGTATTAAATGCATTGGTTCTTCCTGGCCCATAAATGATAGATATTATTTTACTTGTGTCCTGTTAGAATTACAGATGACTCTGAAGARTGTGGGGAACATGGGAAGAGCACATGGATATTTGGTGAGCATAAGTGCTTCTGCTCCATGGTGTATGCGCTGATTCTAAAAAAGTAAATAGAAGTTAACATGGTAAATGAAGTAATAGGAYATGAAAAAAATTCTTCCTCATTATGAAAGTGAAAAGTTACCTTTAGAATAAAAATGTGGATATCAAGGAAGAAGTTATATTCTTTATCTCAGTTAAACCTCACAATAATTMTCTGAGGTAAGTATAGTTATCACCCACCTTTTCAAGCTTTATCAGTTAGTAGGTAGTTAGGTTATGTGGCTCCTTTGTACTTCAGATAATTTGGTTCTAGCAAAGTAAGTCAGTTTCATCTATCTGTTATCAAATTTAAATATTGTAAACGTTATTTTATTTCTGCAATAAAATAACTTACCCATAAGTAATAGAAATTAAGCTACAACTTTAACTTGTTTTGTTTTTAGGGTTTGGACAGAGGAGCCAAAGGCCAAATTTCCACTTTGGGCGGTTTTGCTTCAAGTGTTAGCCAGAAGAAAGAAGCCACTGAAAATAAAAGTTCACCTACACATCTTGTTTCCCCTAACATCAAGAATGGTAATGGTCAGTATGTCTTGGCCAAAAGTATATTACAGTATTAAACTATTTAAAATGTAGATTTTAATCTATTCAGTATTGTTCTGGTAGATCTAGTTAATACAATAAAAGCAAATAAAACAAATAGCACAGTAAAATATGCTATTTGTAAGTAAAATATGTAAATATTTGTAAGAAGAAGCAAAATTATTATTATTAGGTGATAGTTACCTAAAGAATGAAATAGAAAACTCATGAATAATTTTTAAAAGTTTGATTAGAAATCCACATACAATATAAATGCAATAAATATGTAAATATAAAATACATTTTATGTGTCTTTATTATGCAATGTGTAAATATAAATATTTAGTAGATTTCTTATGTTTGAGCAGTAACCAACTAAAAGACTTGATAGAAAATACATAAGATGCTTAGAAATGAACCTAAAAGGAAGTATGCAAAACCTACATAGAGAAAATATAAAACTTTTTCAAAAGATTAAAAGATGGTTTGAACGGAAAGACTTATAAATAATAATAAAGATTTTAGGTTCATCCATTTATTCCCTATATTTAGTAAAATTTTCAATAGTTCTTTGGGGGAAATTTAACAAAATGATTCAATATTTGATTTTTAAGAATAAATGTCTGAGAGGATATAAGACAAAATAATTAGGGTGTACATTATTTTGTAGTGCCACATATTATAAAGATATACTACTGATAGTTTTGGCACCAGGAAAGCCAAATAGATAGATCAGCAAAAAGTATTGTATGTAAGTAGCATTAAATTATTCACAAAAGTAGAATTAGGCCAATGGACTAACTTCTCAAAAATAATGAAGTTAGATTTTTTAAAACTATAAAAGTACTAGAAGAGTATGCAGGAGAATTTGTAATGTGCATGTACTCACTGACATAGTAAATCCACTTTCAGGAATTTAGTCTAAGGAAATAATGTAGCATATATGCAAAAATACAAGGAAAGAATGCACATTATTTATAATAGTATTTGAAGCAATTAAAATGAATTGAGAAATTATGTTTGTCTATATTATAAAAATTGTACTTCTATTAATAAGAATGTGATATGTATATAAAGTGACTAGGACAAATGCTCACAATACATTGTCTGGTACTTTTAAGTTGTAGAATAAAAAAAATTATATAGTTATATGTAGAATATGATTCCAGTTTTTTTTTTAAATTGAAGGAAATCTTTTATATTCTGAGAATGAAAGGGTGCCCACTATTCTGTTAATGATTTTCTTAGGGAGGTAGRATTGGGTGTGTATTATTAATGTTTGTTTTTATAACTCTGTATTGTTTTATTATATGAAACATACATTATTTGAACACTTCTAAGTGCCTCTTAACCCTATAAAAAGAACCTGTAAAGGTTTGAATCCTCCTCACATTCTAGACAAACACCTAGAAATGTTTAAGAATATATTTTCTGGTAAATTATCTTATGTCAATAACCTACATATGGCATAAATTATTCTTGTRCAGATTTTCTGTTTGACACTGCAAGCTAATGCAGGTCAATTCTGTAGTCTTTTAGGTTAGTATCTATGTCACCTCATTAATGAAACTGCCTTTGATAACTTCTTTTTTCCTTGTTACTTCTCTTTCCACCCMCTCCATCAATTAGGTTTTACTGGAGGTCCCAGTGCCCCTATGTCACAATTCCCCAACCCACAACTCAGTAAAACAAACCTATAATTGTKGTACCATTATAGAAACAGAGAAATGAAGAAAATGAGCATATTTGATGTGGGAGCATAGTTTAGAGAAATGATTTCTGTTTTAGACATTAACTAGATAATAATTAATGACTTTTTTGCATGATAATTTATAGAAAACTTTCAAGTTTGTTCTTTAAGCCTTATAACAATCACATAAAATTGAACAGATACTAGAATCCTTATTGTATTTGTTTTCTATTGTTGCATAACAAATTTTCATAACCTAGTGTCTTGAGAACAATCCTCATTCATTAGCTCACAACTCTTTAGGTCAGAAGTCAAGATGAATGTGACTGAGTGTTTTTACTTAGGGTTTTACGGGGATAAAATCAAGGTGTTGTTTGGTCTGGACTATGAGCTAGAATCCTTTTCCAAGCTACCTCAGGTTATTGGCAGAATTCATTCTTTGTGATTGTAAGACTGACATYCTGTTGCCTGGTCTGACTGGCATCTAGGACAAGCTCTTTGAGGCCATACACAGTTTCTTGCCACAGGCCTTATCACAGGGTCTTACRAAAAAATCAAAGCTTACTCATTTAAGGCTGGCAACAAAATCCCCTTTTATGGTTTTAGTCTCTGACTTTGTCTTCTGCAACCAATGGGAGAAAACTGTTTGCTTCTAAAGAACTTGTGTGATTAGGTTTTGCCTGGATAGTATCTTTTTTTAAGGTTGCATTTACAGGTTCTAAGGTTTAGTACTGCAACATGTCTTTTTTTTGTAGAGGTAGGGGAAAAGTTCAACTTGCAACAGAGTTTTAGGATCCTAAAAAAAAATTGAAATGTATATTTGCTAAGAATAATAGCTAGTCTAAGAAATGAATCATAACCTTGGTTTTGGMTTTTTGTTCAGATTCCTAAGCCTTTGAGTCTACCTTTGATTTATAACTACTTCATTCTGTCTATATGAATATCTTGATCTGTGAACTTAGCTTGTATACTTGAGTAAACATTGACTCTGAATATGGTCTACCTACTTGAATTGCTACTACTTTTCTTTTTCTCTCTCATCTGGGCCAATCTTGTGAAATTTGGACTTAGCCTCCACCTGAACTTGGAGTATTTACATATACYACTGTAGATGAATAGACCTTTCAGRAGACATCTTTTGCCTTTTTACAACTTCTGGAGCTAACTTCTCCTACCTTTTCCATCTGGATACCACCTGAATTAAAGTGTATTCATATGTTCATAAAAATGTTTTAAATAAGTCTGAAAAGAGGCATAATAACTTTTTTAAGGAAAATATAAAAGAATAAGAGAATGTAATGCCACGTAAAGAATTCTTTTATTGATGAGAATTTAAGACTAAATCATCCACATATAACCAAGTCTGTAATTTCTTGATCTTTTGGGAAGTCTTTCTTATTTGCCAATAAGATTATTTCCTCAAAAATGCATCATTCCTGGCAGTTATTACAATTTTCCTCCTCCTTCTTTGGTACCAGGACCTATGCTGGGTATTCTCTAACAGCTTGTCTCTCCTGATCTTCAAGTGTTATTAGAGAAGCTGCAAAGCCCAGCGTGGGTTTACCTAACAGCTGAGGGATGCCTTTCCTCCCTGTAGGATCACATGGGTAGGTATGCCTGTCAAGTTGGCTGTCCTTTTAAATATCTGAGAAGTGTAGGAGTTTTACCTACTATAACAGCTGCTAGAGATGATACATCTTCAGAGAAACAATCTAGAAGATAAGTAATGCAGAGTTGGGGAGTGTAGTGGTGGGGGGTAACAYTACATTTCCCCTTACTTTTTTGTATTTTCCTTTCTAAAGTTATTGTGCCCGTTCTCCAGACTAACTTAAAACATGTTTAAATGCCACAGAACATCTTTAAAAGAAACAAAGCAATTCTTTCTCAAACCTTTTAAAATACCTTCCCATTCTTGGTACTTCAGAAGGGTCGACATGAACTCTGACATTTACCTTGAGAGCAGTGTTTCATTCCCAGCTCAGCTCATTTCRTGTGTACTCTACCAAAGCCCTGATTTGATATAATAAACTCTGCAGTTTTTATACACCCTGGAGAAAGGCATTATTTTGCTCCTCTGAAATAGTCAAGAGAAGAACCGGGTGGTCTTGTGATCTGTTTGAAGGTACARTACCACAGGGTTTCACAGTTTCTCTAAAAGCAACTTGAGGGACAGACAAGGAAACAAGCTGTTAGAAACCCAGCACAGAGATTGTTATGTGCTTGCTGTCTGGGGAGGACTTGCTGCTTTAAGATTCCTACCCTAGAAGAATCTCTAAGACCTCAAATGACCCCATCTCCAGGTTTCCTTGGAAAAATGAATTGATTTTAGACTAAATCTCTGAAATCTTTCCCTAGAGCAGAGTGAGTACCTTGGATTTGGCTTTTAACTATTCCTCATGAGAGGTATATCTACATGTATTGGTGTACTTATCCATCTCTTCACTAATCTTTGTGCTCCTTAAGCTTTTATTTTGTAGAGGGAAAGAGCTATCTTTTTTAGTAGTAAAGTTAATGTTTTTGTGTGKGGGGCGGTGGGGACTACCGGGGATTGAACTCAAGGGCACTCCACCCTGAGCCACATCCGTACACTATCTTGTATTTTATTTAGATATAGGGTCTCACTGAGTTGCTTAGTGCCTTGCTTTTGGTGAGGCTGGCTTTGAACCCACGATTCACCTGCCWCAGCCTCCCAAGCCACTAGGATTACAGGTGTGCACCACTGCACCCTGTATAATATAAAAACATAGTATGTTTCAAATGTCTCACCATCACATTCTTTCCTGCTATCCCTTGTACGCTTTCCTGTGTTTCTTTATGCAGAGACAAGCAAATATATGTATTCTCATTTTCCTCCTTTTCTTAAAGATAAGGTAACTGTGCAAACATTATCCATCACCTTGTTTTCTTTTTAGTTAGTGCATTCGAAATCTTTTTGTATCAATACATAGAAAGCTTCCTTATTCTTTTCACAACGATATTCCATTCTATTCAATGTATTATAATTTATTTTCTCAGACCCCACTAAAAGAAATGAGTTGTGTCCATTCTTTTCTTATTGTAAACAAGACCACAATGATTTTGTTCATCTGCAGGTATATCTATAGAATATTCCTAGACGTGGAATTGTTGTGTCCAAGAGGAAATACATTTATGATCTCAAGTTTTGAATCTATCTGTATCCAGAACCTAGCATGTGTGTAACATGTAGTGTGTACTTGGTAAATAATTTACTGAATGAAGAAATGATTGAGAGGCACTTTTTCTGGGTTTCTGCCTGTTTACCCTGTTGGAATGAAAAACCCATTTTAAA